CCCCTGTGCTAGAGCAAGTCCTGCCTTTCTCTGGGCCTCAGTTTCCCCATCTTTGAACAAAGGAGCTGGACCAGCTCAGTATTTCCCCCAGTGTGCTCCCTGGTCCCGAGAGACTATTTGTCCTGGGATCTGAGGAGCGCTGTGCTTGCTCAGCCCTTTTGGATGATCTGCTGAGCTCATTATCATACTGAGACTCCATTTAGTTTCCCAGGATCCCGTGTTTCTTGGAGACTCTGGCCATGAAACATGCATTTTGATGCAATACCTATTGCAGAATGTCCCCGTGAGTTAGGGGCCCTTTCCACATCCACCTCCTACAAAGAAGCCACTTGGAGCCACATGGTCAGAGTTTGAATTCGGGTTCTACCACTTACCTGCTGTATGCCCCTGGGCAAATCTCCCGGCCTTTTTGAGCCAATTTCTCGAACAGATGGAAGCGATGATGCCTACCCAGGCCTCGCTGCCCTGGGAGGGGCTGGGGGCCTGGGAGGCCGGGGCGTGCTGGGCCACATTGCCATGGCAGCCCCTGACCCAGAGGACAACGTCTGTCTCCTGCCATCGCGGTGCTGCCTCCTGGTCAAGGTCTTCAGCAGCCCCTGCGTGAGAGCAGGGGAGGGACCCAGAGCAGTCAGGGGCACGAGGACAGGGCTGGACAGAGGTGGCAGGCTTGTGCTTTCCTCTGCTTCGCACACTCCTGCTCCAGCTCTGGGCTCTGGGGTTGGGGCAAAGTTAAGCCAGCCAGGCTGCGGCCTGTGGTTCTTCCCCTTGCAGCCAAGACAGGGGTGACCAGACTGGCTCGTCTGGACGCTGGCTCCCTCTCCCATGCCCACCCAGAGGGGGCAGCCCCTCTCTCCATTCCCTCCTCTGGCTAGCCGGTGGCCCACCCCTGCACTCCCTGCTGTGCAGCCTCGGAGGCCCCAGAGACCCCCAGTGCATCCTGGTGCCTCTTTGGCCCGATGTGGGAGCGGCTGGCATTGCCATCGCAGCGCCTCCTCCGCACTCCCCTCCTCATTCCTCTCCTCCTCCACTCCTGCAGCTTTCCTCACAGGTGCTGGCCTCCAGGGGCTTGGGGACAACTTCAGGAAGTTCTCAGCAGCCAATGCAAATGAAGGCCACTCCCTGTTGTTGAAGAACAACGTGCAGGCACAGATCTGCTCAGCCAGAGGCTTCTCCCTGAGCCCTAATCCCTCTGCTCTGAGTCACTGGGGTGCAGATCGCTGGTCTCAGGAGCCAGCTTCGGATGGGAAACGCAGCACTGGCCAGAGAGTGTCTTGGGGCTGCGGTGAGAATCCAGCCAGGGACTGTGCCTGCTTGTGGACTCAGGACAAGGTCCACAGTGGGGTTGTTGGACACCCGCAAGGGTGACAAGCCACCAAGGAACACTTGGCCACGTCTGCTACAGCACGCAGCACAATGTGCCTCGCAGACTTCTCGACCAGGCTGGGCTCCGTGCATGATCGCTGGGCTGGCCTTGGCACAGAAGGCAGGCACGGCCACTCCCTTGGAGGACCAGTGACCCCATCCCCTGCGCTGCCAGGCCATTCTGGAACATAAGCAGGGCAGCTCTGGAAGTTCAGCTCCAAGGAGTCCGGAGAAGTCCAGTGAGCCGCCTGGTGGAGTTCTATTATACTTCTCTGTGGTCCAGCTTTGATGGTCAGAAACGAGGGCCTCGTGCCCATCTGGGATCCCCCTGTTGGCCATTCCTGCACCCTGCCATAGAGCCTCCACCTTCCCGCTGGACCCCGCCAGGCCTCTGCCTTTAGCCTCCAGGCTTCTGAGTGGAGCTGCTCACGTGGTGAACTTCTCCACCTTCGCGGGCTCAGCCCAGAGCAAGCTGCATGCAGAATCCTGACGCGGTGGTTCCCGAGCTCCGGGCAGCCCTGACTCTCATCCTTGGATGTCCGAGGCTTCTGCGGGAAAGTCCGGCTCTTTGGTGTGGCCTAGAGGCTCCTCCCAAGCTCTCTGTCCGAACTGTCACTCCCAAGCCTTCCCGTCCCCAGCCAGTGCCCCAGAACCAGCTCTGCCTCCCGGAAACTGGAGCTCCATGTGGGTGCCCCCACAGCCACGCTGCCCCCCGCTGGCCTTCAGCCGCTGTCCCTGCTGCCCACGAACCTGGGAGCCCCTCCCACCCAGCAGCCTCCGAGGGGATGACCACATCCATAGTCCACTTGTGCCCCACACCCAGCACATGGGGGGCTCACTGAGTAATTCTTCTAGAATGACGTCCCCCCATGCCTCCAGCCACCTGCAAACGCTGCGGTGGCTGCCTGCGGGCTCAGGTTCATTCAACCAGTCTCTACGTCCAGGAGGGGTGCCGGGTGCCGGGCAATCTCCTTACCCAGCTGCCACGAGCTCAGGACTCACCTTCCGGCGCAGGGCAACACACACCGGTGAACTGAAGTGTGAGGCAGCGCCAGGTGCTCTGGAGAGCGGGCCTCTGTGGACAGGGCCAGCCTCCAATGGCCCTCTCTCCTTTACCCACCTCTGCCCAGAAAAGAGCTCTGATGTTGCCCATCTGGGCTCCTCTGTCACCGTGTCAGAGACCCCTCCCTGACTATCCAGATAATCTGCTTTTCCTACTGTGCCCTTCCAGCCCCCGTGGCCCTGTGCAGAGCTAGATGATCTGTATGGCTTCTCCCTAGAACTCCCTGGGGCCTGGAAGAAGAGCTCTTGTGCACAGAGGCCCCCAGTCAGTGTGCGTCAGCTGAATGAAGAACCGCTCGTCACTGCACTCCGCACAGTGGAGTTGCTTTGTTGGCTCACGATGTCCACCAGGCCCCTGTGGCACATGGTCCAGCGCTGGCCCTGGTGATAGTCCCTCCATGGCAGTCCCAAGCCCAAGCTTTCCCCAGAAAGCCCTGGGTGCTTGGGATTGAACCAAGGGCCTAGCATGGGGTAGGCAAGCTCTCTACCACCAAGCCACAACCTGGGCCTCAGGCCTTGTGATTTTCTGCTTTGTTTTCTTGGGCGAGCACCGTGAGGGCAGGGGATGGGCCTTATTTACCAGGGCATTGCCAAGACAGGCTGCAACCGTGTATAGGCTCAGCAACAGTCTGGCAAATCTGGCAAATGAGCCTTGGATGGAAGGAAGGGAGGGAGGGAGGGGTGGTGGGTGGTGGGGCTGGGAGAGACTCTTCCCACAGAGCAGGCACACTCTCCTGCGGTGACTGCTGACTCTGGCAGGCTCCGGGCGGAGCACTTGGTCCATGGCCCCAACTGGTCTCCAACCGGCCTGCAACATGAATGGGATTGTCCTGCATTTTACATGTGAGCAGGCAAAGGCCTCATGTCACAAGCATGGACAGTGCCCCAATCCTCCCAACCCGGGACCCCGTTCTGAGACGGAGCTCAGCTGGAGTGGGGGCAGTTCTGAGCCTGCAGGTTTGTCCTGAGAGGAGGGTGGCCCAGCCCAGGGACCTTCAGTGCTGCACCAGGATCACCACACTGCACAGAGGCCTCCTTACACTGTTGTGGGAGACGCAGCCTGAGTATCCAAGACACCCCCAGCACATCCCAGTGAGGCCCACAGTGGAGCAGTGCCCATCCACTAAGACAGCGCCCTGCCCCAGGCCTCTGGGGGAGGAAGATGGATAGATAGCCCCACCCACCCAGCGGCCTCGGGAAGGAGCCAAGTGTGAACAAGAATGGAGCAGAGGACTTTCCAGGAGACCTGGGTGTGGGGCAGTGACCCCTCCTGCAGAGCCGGGAGTGATCCTGCCCGGCTGTGGGCTCCCTGAGGGAGCCGGGGAAGGGCTGTGCAGGCGAGGCAGCCCCAGGGTGGAGGCAAGCCCCCAGCACCCACGCTGGACCGCCATCCTCTAATGGCCCTGGAGCGCCAATGGCGTTAAAACAGTGACATGATGGTCACCTGGCCTCAGCTCCCACCTTGCAGAGGACACAGTGGGGAGCAGGAAAGCTGTGGCCATGTTCACAGAGGGCTTCAGGGACAGCATCTGTGTCAGAACCATGTCTGCTCACACCCAGGGGCCTGTTCAGCTGCCCCCTGACTCTGCTCTATGAGTGTCACCAGGCCACACACATGCTCTAGACACCACCCTGTCAAATCCCAGTCACGGGCTGCAGACAACCTGACCTCTGCCTTAAACTCCCAAAGGGCCGTGAGCAGCAGGGAACAGGAGGGGACAGGAGGGGACAGGAGGGGTGCTTCCCTCTCCGGAGCTTGCCAAGGCACTACCCTCAGAGGTGAGGCTTTTCATGGGGTCAGTGATCCTTGCCCCACCGAGAGCCCCGGCCACCAGTGCAGCAGTCGCCTGGGCCTTCGCCATCCCTGCATGCCCCCCTCAGACCAGACCCCTCCAGCACCCTGCCTCCTCCTCAAGAGTCCACAAGGAAACTCTGTGAAGCTCAGCTATTAAGGCAGGGCCACTGGGCAAAACAGGTGAGGACGGATGGCCACTGGCAGCGGGGAAGACGAGCACGGAAGCCAGGCCAGGCGGTGGCGCACACCTGAGATCCCAGCAGCTCGCGGGGCAGAGGCAGAGCATCGCAAGGTCAAAGCCAGCCTCAGCAAGTTAGCGAGGCCCTGGGCAACTCGGCAAGACCCTGAATAAGAATTTAAAAAGGGCTGGAGATAGGGCTCAGTGGTTAGGCGCCCCGGTTCAATCCCCAGTACCAAAAACAAGACAGAAAAGTGTGTGTGAGTGTGTGTGGGTGTGTGTGAGTGTATGAGTGTGAGTGTGAGTGTGTGTGTGGGGGGGGTGTGTGTGAGTGTATGAGTGTGTGTGTGTGTGAGTGTGTGGGGGTGTGTGAGTGTGTGTGTGAGTGTGTTTGTGAGTATGAGTGTATGAGTGAGTGTGTGTGGAAGCCAGGGTAAAGGGGAGAGCTGCTTGCTCCACAGCTCCAGAGACAACGAGTGGCAGACAGAATCAAGGCCGGACGTGGGTTCTGAGGGCCAGCTGCCCAGCCTCAGAGCCCAGGCCAGCGGGCCACCAGTGTGATTTTGCCGCTCACGCTCTGGCCCTGGCCCTCTGTGCCCACAGGCTGCTCCATCACGGAGGCGGTGACGATTCTGGGGAGCGAGCTCCGGGACTACCAGAGGCAGTTCAGCACCGCCCACCTGCTGGCCCTCTGCGACTACTTCCACAACACCTTCATCCGCCACTACCGACTCTACCAGTGCGTCCTGGGCCAGGACCAGGAGGTCAACCTGACGGTCGCCCACCTGGAGGTGTGTGCGCCGCCCGCGCCCCTCCCGCTGGCCGAGGGCACGGACAGGGAGGTGTGGCATCACGAGCAGCAGCTGGCCGAGCTGCGGAGGGCCGAGGTGCAGAAGCGCACCAACATGCTGCTCCTGAAGGAGACGCTGAGCCTGGAGCAGGCGCACGTGCTGCAGAAGGCCTTCGGGGGCCAGGTGGTGCCCGCGGGGGCGCCCGCAGAGCCGCACCAGGCCCTGAGGAGAGAGGTGAGGCTCCCGCTGCCGGCGCTCACTTCCCACGGGGACACCGGCTGGACTCCGACACGGCCTCGTCTTCCGCACGGAAGCACGGAGGAGCCCGGTGTGCCCCGCGGGCCGTGCCTGCAGGTGCCATGACACCTCCCAGCAGGGCAGACACTGTGTCCCCATTTTGATGGTGAGACAAATGAGGCTCAGAGAACTTACTCTGCCCAAAGCCACCAAGCTAACCTGGGTAGAGGTTACAGTGGGCCTAGGGTCTGGCCGACCCTAAGTCCAAGTTCTGTCACGCTGTCATCGTGGATCTGTGGCTCGGAGCCGCTGCAGATTTTCCTAATGCCCTCGTCCACGGAGGCCCAGGGACAATGGAGGAAGGAGCATGGAGACCGCTCAGGGAGGGGGTTTGGGGTGAGGCCAGGCAGGACCAGAAGGGTCTGGTGGTGGATGTGAGACACCGCTGCCCTGCCCATGGGTACAAAGACCCCAGGCCCCCGTTGCCAGCGCCTCCCCAACCTCTCGTATCATGGTGACCAGCCTGAGGGAGTTGAGGCCAGCTCTAGCGCTACACAGGCACTGGCACTGTCTTGGTTACCTGGTCTTTGAACACAGGGACGAGTGTGTGCTCGAGTGTAGGTGTGTGCCTGTGTTGTGGGCACGGGGGAGGGGGGCAGGGGAAAGGGCTGTGTGTCCCCAAGGAGTTTCGTAGTTTGTCAGTTGGTTTTGGTTTCTGATGAGGAAAGAATTCCTTTGAAATTCAAAAACATATTTGGAAAATCTCTAAAGAAAAATTAAAACGACAGAATGGATGGTACTCATCCAAGGCTAGGTCTCCAGAAACACAGCACATCCAGGTGCCATGTAACCTCAGTGCATTAAGGTATCCCACAGGAACCAGGCACAGTGGTGCCATCGTGATCCCAGCAACCCAGGAGGCTGAGGCAGGAGGATCGCAAGTTCAAGGCCAGCCTGGGCAATTTAGGGAGACCATGTCTCAAAGTAAGAATAAGGGCTGGGGCTAGAGCTCCATGCAGAGTAGCGCAGTCCCCAGTACCACACACACACACACACACACACATCCAATGGGGACTGAGTAGAACCCAGGCACCAGCCTGTCTGCAGTCCTCTTCAGGGGACCTCGCTGCAGAATATGTGAGGTCCCCACTCCTGCTCTCTCTACACACTCGACAGCCCCTCCTGCCCACTCTCCCTGCCCTGTCTGGCTCATGAGCCGAGGCCCCTCCAAGTTGTGCCCTGGCAGTTGGCCTGAGCTGGTAGCACTAAGCTCCACAGAAACAGCATGGGGCATCAGCTTATAGCCCATGTCCCCAGGACCCACGGGAAGAACAGTATTCTCATTCTAGGAGGCGAGGACAGATATTTTGAGGCTAATGCAAAATTCTGCATGGGTTTTGCTTGTTTGTTTTTTTGGGTGCTGGGGATGAACTCAGGGGCACTCGACCACAGCCCTATTTTGTATTTTATTTAGAGACAGGGTCTCACTGAGCTGCTTAGCATCTCACTTTTGCTGAGGCTGCTTTGAACTCACAGTCCTCCTTCTTCAGCCCCCAAGCCACTGGGTGTGCATGGGTTTTTAAGCTAAAATGCAGATCTCAGATGTATCAAGGAATATTCCAGAACGTCCCCCGCACCCCTGGATGGGCATAACCTCTCCTTTGTTGGCTGGCTACTCAGGCAGGAACTGGAGCAAAGAGTTACATGTCCCTGTCTCCAGGATGCTATGGCACCAGGAGTTGACAGAGACGGTTTCCTGGTGACATGGCAGCCGGTGGCTCAGTTTCCCTCTTCCCACGGCTGACGGGAGGACACGCCCACTTCCTGGAGTAGTTTCCCTTTCTGTCCAATAGGACTTGGAGATGTGACAATGGGCAGGGAGAGGGGAGCCCAAGAGAGAGCGGGGGCCAGTTGACACAGCCGATCCTGTGGCCTGCAGGGCGGTGTGGGTGGAGAGGACCGTGGAGGTGTTCGGCTCAGGGCGGGCTGGGAAGGGCCTCCTGGGGGCCCGGCTCACCAGCCTCTGGCCCCCAGGTTCTGGAGCGCCTGGTCAGCGAGGCCATCCACATCCAGATCAAGTGCCTGCAGGAGCTGCTGCAGTACGAGATCCAGGTCACGTTTGACATCCTGGACCTGCGGCTTCAGAGGAAGACCATGAGTCTCAACGCCCCGCTCCCCTTCCCCCCGCTCCCCGGCAATCCGGGGCGAGAGGACACTCACCAGAAGCCCAACAAAGGGAACAAGGGAAAGAAAGCTAAAGCGAAGAAGTGAAGCCCCTGCCCAGGCACCCAGAGGTGACCAGGGAAGGGTTATATGGTGTGCTCAGCACCCAACAGAGCAGAGGCTTCTAGTGATTAAAAGAAAAAAACAAAATGCATCCTGAGTCTGTCTTGGAAACCGTCTTCAGCACCGGAAATCCAGCCCCAGCTGTGTGCCCTGGTGACAGGAGAGAGTGCCCGCCTCGGTCCCACACGGCACAGGGCATCCTCTTGGCAGGGAGTCAGGCACCCAGTGGCTGAATCTGAGCAGATCGGGCTTGGGCAGTAAGGGTCGGGGAGCCCAACACCAGCCACCAGCCATAGCTGACGGGGCGTCTTCTTACCCAGATGTTCACGGAGGGATCAGCTCAGTGGGGTGGATGGGGGGCGGGGGGAGCTCGCAGAACCTCACACTTCCAGAAAGCACCACCCAGGAGGTCAGAGACCTGGTATGAACCCTGCTCTGCCGCTGGTCTGCTGGTCACTCTGCTTGTGTCCCTTCTGTCCCTGGGTCCCTGCTGTCAGGTGGGAGGTTTGTGGATGTGGCCAAGGTCCCTCTCACAACATCCTAAGACAGAGGCAAGACCAGGTTGCTGTTCCTGTGTGTCAAGGGCTTCACAGTTCAAGGGGGTCAGTATCAACGTCACCCATCGAGGGAGCCAAAGAGCCAGGGCGAGGCCCAGTGCTCAGGACTCCTCTTTCTCTGCTCTTCCCAGGGCACCGTGCCCCTCAGGCAAACCACAGCAAGACTGCTGTCACTGCTGGCCTGACGGGGACTCTGCCCCCAAGTCAGGTGGGAAGGACCTTACCACACACTGCCAGAGAGTAAGGCCCCCTGGTGCCCAGGGTCCCCGGGCCCAGCACTACTCACTGTCCAGAGGCACTGGAAGGAGCAGCCCAACACTGGGTGGTCCCTTCAGTAGAAGTGATGGCTAGTCCCTCTCACCTGGCTCTCCCATGGGGGGCTCGCCCATTCCATCCATACCCACGTCCAACCTCAGGCCCCCAGAGGGCTGAGCCCTGTGGACTCAGGCCACTTAGACCAGGCTGTGCACAGTGGCTACTGGCACTGTCCTCTCCAGGATGCCTGGGTTTCCAGGCGGACCCAGCTGTATGCGTGGACTTCCAGCCTGGCGGATCCATCCTCTTCACACCAGCCCAGCTGCTCCAAGGGGGCAGGTGCTGCAAGGATTAGAGGGGAAGAGGTGGCTCTGCAGTCCTGAGCCGCGGCCCTTCTCCCCTCCTCCAGGGCACCGTCCCCTCCTGGAGGGTGGGTCTGCGCTGGCTTCCACCTGTGGAGTGAGGGAAGAATGAACCAACGATGTGAGAAAACCAAATCTCCTGCCTCTGACGCAAGGGGTGTCGGGAGCTCATCAAGCTGCCCAGGTACACAGGCCCCTGTGGCAGCTCTAACAGGCTGGCGGCTCTAGCTCAGTGCCGGGAAGGGGGGCCATCAGCCCACCCTGCCCTCCCCTGGACCCCTCTGCAGGGCACAGCCCTGTGCCAGCAGGTTGTGGCCTCACATCTCACGCACACCAGGCTGGCCTCCTCCACTGTTTGGTGGCCTCTGCTCAAGGACATCTGAGGGGTAAGGTCTGAGGGGAAGAGAGCCTGCTGCATCTCGAGGCCCTTCCACGCCCCTAAGCAAACTTACTAGCTGGTGGGAGTCCCCATCCCAGGCAGCGGGGCTCTGAGCCGGCGTGGGGGCCAGCACCCCAGCTCCCTTTCAAGCCTGTAGGCTTGGCTATAGGACTTTTAAATACATATCTCACTGTAGCTGAGCTCCATCTATGAAGGCAGTGGGCATGAGATGAGGGCAAGCCACAGGGAGTAGTTCAAGACCCCTCAGGCTGGGAGAGGAGGTGCCATGGGAGGGGCACCCTGGAGCTAAAACTGGACCTACCGCTCCTTCAGAGAATGGTGGTGGAAGGGCCGGGGCACCATATTCCTGCAGAGCCAGGTGGACCCCCTGACACCAGGCAGCACAGAGGCCACAAACTGAGACAAGACCCAACACCAGGAGGTGGGACAGGCTGGGAGCGCTCCCCAGGTACTCCAGCCTCGCCACACCTGCACTGGGTGGGGTGAGAATGTCTAGGCACGTGAGCACCCACGGGGTGCAGTGGTGAGTCCTTACCAGTGCCGGGGCTTGACGGGGAGACACTGGAGCTGGCCTGCCTTTCCACCAGCCCTTTCCCTGGTCAGTGGCACCCTCCTGGGGACAGCACGAGCAACCCCACCCCAGACGTGGATTGCAGGCGGACCTGAGCAGCCGAGGTGGGCCTCCTCCCCTACGCAAGTGGCACTGCGAGAAGAGTCCAGCGCTGCTGCTCCTGCCAGCCACCCAGGCCTGAGCCTCTTGTGCCACTGCTAGGTTCAAGAGCCAGTGGGAAAAGCAGGAGCAGTGAGCCCCACTTAGGAGGCGCCCCCTTCTGTCGCCAGGAGCCGGGAGGCAGGACTTGGGCACGTGGGTGGTGGGATCCTGCAGCTGGTCATCGTAGTGTCTGCTCTGTGCTGTCACTTTTCAATGAATCCTTCTGACAAGGGGTTTAACAAAACCAGAGTGAGCACGCACTGTGAAACCACACTTATCTCAGCTTTCCCTTTTTTGAGAAATGTTAATGATGACGCCATAATGTATGCAGAATGGACCTCTGTGCTCCCTCCACGCCACACAAGCCACAGCAATGCCCTTGACCACGGGAGGAGAGGAAGCAATCTGCCAGAGGCCAGCAGGAGCATAGCAGCTACCTGGCCCCGGGACGACCCCAGGGTAAATGACCCCACCGCACTTCCCTCGGTCCTGTTCTCATTGTGGCCAAGTTTCCTGATACACGATCTGGAGATAAGTGACAGCTGTTTGTGAAGGGCACCCCGCTGGGCAGAATTGGGCATGGCAGTGGGTTACCATACGGTTCCCATTTCCATCTGTTCCAGGCAAAGTGAGGCATTTGGAAATTCATTCTGTTGCCGGGTTCAGAATACCTCTCAATATTGCAAATGCTGTCAGAAATTCACTGAAAAAGTTCAACATTAACGATAAAAGTATTTTGCTTTATGCCAGGCACAGTGGCACACGCCTGTAATCCCAGCAGCTCGGGAGGCTGAGACAGGAGAATTGTGAGTTCAAAGCCAGCCTCAGCAACAGTGAGGTGCTAAGCAACTCAGTGAGACTTCGTCTCTAAATAAAATACAAAATAGGGCTGTGGGTGTGGCTCAGTGGTTGAGTGTCCTGAGCTCAATCCCTGCCCCCCCCCCCCCAAAAAAAAAGTACTTGCTTTTTTAATAATACAATACAAATGCTGGTTGATCTTAGATCCTTGGCAGAGGGACATTCTCATTAGATTTTTTTTTAGTTTTATTTGTTCTTATTTTTATGTGGTGCCAGAGATCGAATCCAGTGCCTCACACATGCTAGGCAAGTGCTCTACACTGAGCCACAACCCTGGCCCTCTCATTAGATTTTTTTAAAAAAGCAACTGCACAGGCGTCCTGAGAAGAAATGTACTTTACATTGTCTGATGGGCACACAGAAGTCGTAGCTGCACCCAGAGGGACAGAAGTGGAAACGAGGATGGAAGAGGGCGGAGAAGGCAGTGAGCAACCTGAAATAACAGTGGGACTCCTCCCAAGAAGCACCGTGCGTCAGGGACAGTTGACCTTCCTTCATTTCACAAATATTAATTGACCAATTATTTGTAACAGACACTGTTAGGCTCTGAGGACCCGATGGTAAACAAGTCGGACAAGGTCCCCCACTTCTGAGGAGTTTGAATCCTCGTGCAGAATGCCAGCGGTTAAGTAAACAAGATACTCACAGACGGGGCAGGCACAGATGGCGGGCAACCTTGGCGAGGCAGTGATGTCACTGCCAAGCTATTTAGTGCATATTGTATGTTTGAGGCATACAACAGGCACTCGATAGCGTATTAGGATAGGACTCAAATGCAAAGTCAGAAAAGAGGCACAATCGGCCCTCCAGAGTGCACAGCCTGGGGTTCTGGTGGGGGTCCCCAGCCACAGTGCTTCTCTCCCTGGCCAAAGGGTGAGCCTGGTCTCTGTGGACCAGTCATCTACTTCATGGCCATGGGCCTCAGTGATTGGACCAGGTATGGGCCCATGACCCAAACTGGACCTTTTCAAGTATCCCGTCTTCATCCCACCCACTGCACCCCCAGTCACAGTTGATTCTGGAATCTTCCTACTTAAAGTTTCCAGGACTCCCTTCTTTTTGGTTGTGAGGCCGCAAGGATTTCAGGAGGCAGAAGAGCCTGCAGCTGGGATTCTAGTCTAAGAAGGAAGACAGGCACAGAGAAGCCGAGGAGAGGAGAGATGGAGAGATTGTTTCCTTAATCCAGCCACCCTGGAGGCAACCGCACCCTGACATCAGAAGTTGGGTTATCTGAGCCAACGTGCACACGCCCATTATTTGACTGAGGTCAGTGAGACAGGAAGGGCAAGGAATGCTTCAACCATGACAGATAAAGAAACTGAGGCTCAGACAGGTGGAACTATTGCTCAAGAGCACTTGACTAATTGAGGGTGAAGTCAAGCAGAAGCAACCAAACCTCTGAACCACCTAGATGAGCACTCTCGTCCCATCCACTGCCACAGAGAGCATGGCTCCTGTCCCCAGGTGGGCCATGTCCTCCAAAGCCACCCTTCGGTCTGGACTCTGAGGGAGACAGACCATGGTGTCTACTCAGATGAGAACTACTCGGGGCCCAGGGGCAGAATCTCTGCTCTGGGAACTTGCACTCACAAAGTCCAGTGGGGGACTGGAGCAAAATGGAACGAAATTACTTACCATTGTCATTGCTCCTTCCTCTGAAAATGTCCACTCCATCTGCAGTGTCACCACCTCCCCGTCACTCAACGGCCATCTACCATCAAATGCATAAGTCCCGATTGGTGGACCACTAACACCTTACCCTTATAGTCACTCACACTGTCGCCCGTAAAATATCCTCCAAAGAACCCAGACAGCTTCCTGTCTATCCTGTCAGATTCTGT